TTCTCAAAACCCTGCTGCACTAGTTCGTATCCTTACAGAAGGTGTTTTTATTTCTCTGCCTTCAGACCGAACTTCAAGCTTCCTGCTCTGTCTCGTGGAAACTCATCTTGATTTGAATTCCTCTAAAGAGGATGCAGTTTTAAAAGATATCTCAGCTAGTCTCTGGGCTTTACATGGAAATGAGGTGGACTGCAACTGAGCGCAAATCCAGTACGTGCTACATAGAAGAGGAACAAACCTTTCCCGTCGGTAGGTAGTACAGTTCCCCTGTCATGAGATGCAGAGCAAGGAATCGAGCCTATCGCAGCCTCTCTTTTACAGCAAGGTGCACTTATTTTCATCACCTCACCCTGTGACACCCCAATCTTACTAAAAAAGGCACAAGGAAAGTTTGATTCAGATGGAAATCAAATGTACCAACTTGTGCAGGGTCTAAGAGGCATGAACTCCCTTGTAATTCCCTGCTACCCTCTGCCCCAAGCCAGCTACTCTCCTACCTGGATTCCTGGGGATGCAGCCTGGTTCACAGTCAGTGACTTCTGCTCAGCTTTCTTTGCAGTTCCTTTGCACCCTGCCTCACAGTTCTCTTTGCATTTACATCCAGAGGGAGACAATTAACGTGGGCTCCCTGCCTCAGGGATATTGTGCGCCCCCCTCAATACTGTCTCAAATCCTTAAAGCCAACGTGGATTCTGTGGCCTTCACCCAAGGCTCCACCGTTGTGCAGTGTGATGACCTTTTGCTTTGTAATCAAACCGAACGGGGTGCCCTTACTGACCCTGTCATTCTCCTAAGGCTCTGGCTGAAGAGGCCATAAGGCCTCCGGATCTAAACTTCAACTGGTACACACACCTGTTACTTACTTAGGACCTGAAATATCTCAGGGCACTCAAAAACTCACCCCAAATTGACTTGACTCAATTTTATCCATCCCTCTCCCTAAGAGGAAAAAGCAACTACATAAATCTGTAGGGACAGCTGGCTATTGCCAGCAATGGAGCTGGCAATTTTGCTGCTCTTGCTAAACCACTCTACGCCCTCCTCCCAGATACCGCTCCAGAGCCCATTGTCTGACGTTAACTTCCTTTGAAGCCTTACAGGCAGCATTGTCCACACCCCCTGCTCTTGGCTAACCTCATTTTCACAAACCATTTCACCTGTCTTGTGGTGACAATAATGGGCTTGCTGCAGGTGTACTGGGGCAACCCTTTGCCTCTCAGATACGCTCTGCGGCATATTTCTCATGCCAACTCCTCCTGTGGCAGCAGGCACACCGCCAGGCCTGCGTGTAGTAGCAGCAGGTGCCGCCCTAATGGATTAAGCCAGCACTCACAGTAGGCTCCCCCGTTCCCTCTCTGTTGTATCTGCTCCCTACAAGTTCCTAAGATGCAGCACCTCTCCACTCGGAGAGAAGTCCTATTACCAAATCCCTCTGTCATCTTGCATCATCGTAACACTTTAAATGCTGCTACACTCCTACCCTTCCCTGATGATAGAGACCCTCATTCCGTTCCACACGATTGCCTAGCAGCTGCAGAAATGGTTGCAAAGCTACCAGCTGATCCCTCAGATATTCCTTTAGGCAACGCAGACTTACTGCTATTTTGTGAGGGCCCTTGCAAACGCAATGTAAGGGAAACACGATACTCAGCTATGGCATAGTTTCCCCACAAAAAACACTGAGGCATACTCCTTTGGCCACTATAAAGTGGGTCAAGCTGATGAACTTATGGCTCTTGTTAGAGCTTGCACACTGGCAAAGGGAAATCACTGGCACTAGTTACACTGACTTCAGAGACGCTTTCGGGGCCTGTCGTGCTGTTGGCATACTCCGGACGCGCCGCGGATTCCTGCCGCTGCTGGTGCTCCTGTCACTAATGGCCGTGTGAGGGCTGCCTTGTGACACGCTGTTCACTGTCCCACTAACGTTGCTGTGGCTCACCGTCCAGCCCACTCCAAGGGACCGCCACTCCGTGTCTAGCGAATGTTAGGTCAGGCAGGGCTGCTAAGGATGCAGCGCCAAACAGACCCCTTATTCTTCTCCCTCCCAACTTATAAACTCGTCTTTATCCCTGACCGAAATTATTGATCATCAGGCAAATGTCCCCAAATGTGAAAGAGATAATGGACACAAAAGGATGCCGAGCAATCACCAGATGGATTATGTATGGTCCAAATGGACTTCCTGTGACCCCTTTTTCTTCTACCTTTTGCACTTATGTCCCACCAGATGGGGGATGCGTGGGAGATGTGCCAATGGGGGATACGTGGGGGAACTAAAAGGTAAGTGGTTTTGCCCCAGGATCCACAAAATTTCTGACCAAATTATTCCCAGTGCATTACTTGTAAATCTGACCAAATCTCTGGAGGAAACCAACAGTCCTCAGGATGTCCACCATGGCCCATGCCGCCCCTTTAGCTCCACAGATAGACGTACCCATAGATTTGCCTCCAGCGTTAGGGTGTCCTCACTGGTGACTTACTGCCTGCATGTCCAGTCGATGGACTGATGCTATCCGACTAGATGTGCTGATGCCACAGCCCTGGGAAAGAAATTGACAGCTGATGCTATTCCTCCCTTTGGCAGAGCTTTATGGATTGAGCCAGGCCAAGGAAGTCAGTTTACAGCTGAGATAATCCACTTGCTTGCAAACACTCTGGGGTGCTCACTAAAATTTCACACCCCATCCCATCCCCAGTCCTCAGGACAAGTGCGATGTAAAAACCTCGACAAGAAATGGAGTTTGGGAAAATTCTGTCAAAAAGCTAGATCCGAATGGCCAGAAGCATTACCTATGGCCCTTATAAAAATTCAGAATACTTCAAATAGAAGCCATGGATTAACCACTCTTCAAATAAAGTTCTGCTGCTGCCCTATGCCTGCTGGCACCTCTAAACCTTCCATTCTTGGGTTGAATGAACACTTTGGGGATTTATGTGAACAATTTGATGCCGTGACTAGCGACATCCGGGCACTAAGTAACACGCTTGGAGCATATCATCAACAGGCTAAAAGCGCATGGCCTCTGCCAACTGACAAGACCCGCCATTCTTTTCCACCAGGAGACCGTAGGCACGTCAAGGATTTTACAATAAAGCACGCACTGTCATCTCGCTGGGAAGGCCCATATGAAATACTGCTGACCACATACACTGCCATGGAAATGAAGGAAAAATCCTCCTGGGCCCTCACAAGGCACACCAAGCTGGATCCTGATCAGAACTCCCAAGACAATTTGAAAACCACCCATCAAGGTGACCTTAAAGTACGGCTTTCCAGGGCCAATTCCCAGGCCTCAGAAGCAGATAATATTTCATTGAGACGGACAGATTTTCCCAAGACCACCAGTCAAGAAATTCTACTTCCACCTATTTTCTCCCCATTTTAAATCTCCTTACTCCCCTTCCTTAGGGGGAAAAAAAACCCGGCATCTTTTTTTCATCGACAAAAGCCTTTCCGCATGTGTTGTTAGAGTACTGGAGAGCTGACCGGGGACTGTCTTCGTCTATCCTATTCTCCCTCTAGTCCTCCATTATGGACTTTTTTCCAAACTGTGTCTTGCTCATACTAACTTCTACTATTTTTCTGACAGGTCCAGCACAGACAAGGCACCCCTTTGTACAGTCTTCCAAACCCTGGATATGACAACTGATCAATCTGATTGTTGGTCGTGTCAATATCTAGATTATTTAAAAAATCTAGATTGTTGCTCTTGCCAGAGCGAGTGTCTGGTGGGTAAAATCTGGAGAATGGATGCGTACCAAGAGACAACAGCGTGATGAGATTTCTCATTTTGCCTCCAAATCAGCTTTTAATATTTAAAACTTCTAGTTAAATTTCAGACTGGGGAAATGAAGGAGTGAAGGATGTGCCATCCTACAATATGTCAGATTGGTGGATTGATTATTTGAGTTAAAAACATGGGGAAACTAGTGTCAGAGCGGGTGAGCTGATCTCTCTCTTCCTCTCTCTTCCTGCATGTAGCAAGTGAAAAAGATTCTTCTGGGAGGGGGACCCTCTCCAAACCAGGGTAAGAAAATGACCCTTATCACCAGAGACGTGAAATTAGAGGGACGATAGACCCAAATAAACATACTTACAATAATCCTTATCTGCCACCTGTTTTACAGCCCCTACATATCTCCCAGTGACTCCTCTAAAAAATTTATTGTTCCTAGCCAGACTGCGTCCTGTGATTTCTTCTCAGATGTATTAGTCATTGTCTAAAATTTACAAAAACACATTTGCTTGGCCAATTTTTTGGATTTCACTCTCTTGTGAACCTCCCCTTATGCATGTAAAACCAGTAAAGTTCGTATCTGCCTGGTGACAACTGGCTTTTAGTTCCAACTAAGGAGCCAGATAAAAGCATGCTCCACTGCCTTGTGCAGGGGTCGCAGTGGAAGCACTGGGAGGGGTTTGGGGGTTCCAGAGGATTTCACATCCTGCCCGAGGGTCCAGTCGAGGCAGTGTCTCTCCCTCTTAATGCTCCCTTGGGACTTCCTGGGATTGCTGCAGACACTGGAGTGGACTGGGAAGCTCCTGCCACCACGGGTAAGGGTCATTCCACTGTGAGGATGAGGAAGGGTGAGCAGTGGGTGTGAGGATTGGGAAATGTGTCTGTGCGGGGCCATTGAGAATTCATGGTTGAAGGAAATGGAAGTCCCTGAAAATACTGGGGATGTGTGACCTGGGAGCGGAGGTCCCAGAGCAGGAGGACAGAGGGCAGTGTACCCAGCACCCAGGGCTGGGAAAGGCGTCTGCAGGAGGTGAAGGGTAAACTCTGTGATACCTGCTTTGTTTGAGTCATTCCTTTCCTCCCTCCCAGCAACTCTGGTAGTTTCTTTCCTGTGGGTTGCCAGCCTCATTCCCTTTCTCTCCCCTTTCTTGTCGCTGAGGTCTGACTGCCCCTTTGGCATCTCATACTCCTTCTTTCCACACAACTACTCTAGCAGGAGGGGGCCTGTTGCTTTTTTCTGTTTTTGTCTTCTCCTTCCAATCCTAGAGAGACTGGCAATGACTTAGTTTCCTGAGTGATTCTGGGTGCTGACCAGATGTGGAAACCCAAGCTCAGAGAAGGATTTCAAACTAATGTGACTTGAATCCAGGTGTGGCTTCCCAGTACACTTGGGTCTTCTCTGCTCTGCCCAGGAGAGTTGGTGTACGAGATATGCACAATCAGTTCTGACCCGCCAAGTTAGATGGAGTGATATGTGTGCTAGGTGTGCATGTGTGTGCACTGGTATGGAAAACAGTGTGGACGCTCATGTGTGGACCTGTGTGGGCACAGCAGAGCAGAGTGACATCCGTGTACTAGGGTGGCATTGCAGAGAAATAATGTTTTCTTATGCTGGGCAAGACTTGAGGTTTTACAAGGGTCTGTATCAGTACTTGCAACAGCAGAACAAAAAACAGAGGCTCGAGTGAGGGAACTGAGGGCTCCATGCCAGCGTGCCTAGAGGCTTCCCTGCCAACTGCCACCCTCTGTGTTCCTTAGTCCTCCTGTCTCAATCAATACTGGCCATAGTCTCCTTGTACCCCAGCCTGTGTGTGTCTCTCTCCCCAACGCCATGTGGCTGTACCTGGCGGCCCTGGTGGGCCTGTACTACCTTGTGCGCTGGTACCGGGAGAGGCAGGTGGTGAGCCACCTCCGAGACAAGTACGTCTTCATCACGGGCTGTGGCTCTGGCTTCGGGAACCTGCTGGCCAGACAGCTGGACATGCGCGGCTTGAGGGTGCTGGCTGCGTGTAGGACAGAGAAGGCGGCCGAGCAGCTGAGGGCCCAGGCGTCAGACAGGCTGGAGACGGTGACTCTGGACATCACCAAGACAGACAGCATCACTGCAGCCACCCAGTGGGTGAAGGAACGCGTGGGAGACAGAGGTACCCCCCAGATTCCTCTTTGTGTCTCTCTCGCCTCTCTCTGGGAAGGAGAACCTTTTGTCTGCTAACTGGGAAGATTCCCAGGACGTTTGGATTTTCAAGGACTGTGAGCTTTGCATTTCCCAGAGCAGAATCCTACAGTGCCAGTGCCTGAGCCATAGGGTCGGAGGGGCGGGCACAGCCTGTGTTTAGGGTCGACTCTCTGGAGCAAGCTTGGGCCCTTGAGCCTGGCAGGCGACAGTGGGGACCTGGGCCAGGCTGGATCTGGGCTCGTTGTCTCAGCATTTCTTATTGGTTCCTTCACACTTGTCCCCCCAAGGGCTCTGAGATTATCTGTCCTCACTTGACTCATGAGGACGGAGGCTTAGAGCTCTGAAGGGACTGAAGCGCTGAATATCAAATATTCAGTGATAATTCCTGTCCTTCTGCTACATTACGCTGCCTGTTCTTTCTGTGAAAAGGGAGATCGTGGATCTCTTTGTTCTGATTAGAAATGTAAAACATGCTCATTGAGGAAAACGTAGGATAGAGGATAAAGGTAAAACAACATTCACCGTAATCGCACCCTCCAGAGTTAATTACTCTCTGCCTCACGTGTTCTGGGATCCCCTTTATACCATCAAATCTCTCCTGAAACGTAACATTGCATGTCTGCATATTCATGCTGAGAGAATATAATTTATTTAAGCAGTGCTATATTGTTGGATGCTGAACTTAGTTTCCCACCTTTCCTGGCATAAATAACATCTCAGCAAAGATTCTGTAATGAGGTTTGTTCACATGTTTAGCAATGTTATTCAAGTAAAGCAAAATGATGGGATCACAGAATACTCATTTCTTGAAGGCCATGAAAGGTGTTGTGTGGGGGAAGCACTAATATTGCAAGGCCTTATTCTCTTTCCACTATTCCTACATTAAACTCTGTCTAACTGCACCCCCGGCCCTGGCCCACCGAAAAGCCTGCCCCCGATAACCTGATGGGTCTGTAGGTGGGGAAGTCAGACTATTTAAAATCCTGGAGGTTGTGTTTTTGTTCCTGGATATCTCGCAGATCATTTTCACGAGAGCTAAGTGGTCTCGGGAGCCGTGATATTATGTCAAGGGTGGACTTTGGGGAGGGTGGAAGCCGTGATATTATGTCAAGGGTGGACTTTGGGGAGCGTGGAAGCCGTGATATTATGTCAAGGGTGGACTTTGGGGAGGGTGGAAGCAGAGGTTGACCCTGCCTGGGGCCAAGGGTGCCATCTGGACACTGGGGTAGCCTGAGGACTCCTCCCCCGTTTGTCCCTTGTATCGACTCCATGGTGAGCTTTGGATTCCCAGGTAGAGAGGGTGAACTTTGCTTCCTGAGCAAATATTGCCTCAAAATTGGTACACATTGCATCACAGCCTGTCCCCTGATGTCCAAAGCAGGCCTGATCTCTACCCTCCCCAGTCTTAGGATTTTAACTGCATCTCTCCCAACCAGGGTAGACAAAACAATGATTCATGGGTCTTTTTGTCTTTTCCTTTTGTTCTTTCTCTTCTCTGGTTTTCCCTTGTTTCTTTTTTTTTTCTTTTACCCCATTCTTCTTTTACTGTCTCTGTCTCTCTCTACTGATGAGATATTTGATGAACACTCACTCTGTTTTCTCAAACTCTGTCCATGCACTTAAGAAAGTTGGGTTCATTGCACGCTGGTTTCCAGGCACTGGGAGCAGAGATGACAAGGACCATTCCCAACCTCTGATAGCTTGAAGAATATGCAAACCCTGACACCTTTAAGTCACCACATCCTCATTTCCTCCCCCACTCTTTTCCCAGAGGAAGTAGCACATTCTTTTTGGTTCTATAAATAAACTCAACTGGAATGTGACCTTGAACCCTAGCACACCACACACACACAATACAGTGTTGCTCTCTCAATTTCCCACTGTCCCCAGGACTCTGGGGCCTGGTAAATAACGCTGGGATCTACAGAGGGTCAGGCCACAATGAGTGGCTGACCAAACAAGACTTCGTGACCATACTGGACGTGAACCTGCTGGGGATGATCGAGGTGACTCTGAGCCTGCTGCCCTTAGTGAGGAAGGCGAGAGGCCGGGTGGTCAACGTCTCCAGCATCGGGGGTAGATTGTCTCTAACACCTGGGGGCTACTGCATCTCCAAGTATGGCGTGGAGGCCTTCTCGGACTCCCTCAGGTATTGCACTGGGATCGGGCCCTGCCTGAGTCCTCCTGTTCCTGGTCTTCTATGGGAGCATTTCGCAGCAAGTCGATTTCATCACAGATTTAGAGGCTGTTTATTCGAGATCCATCTCTCGGGCTTTTTGGACCTTCCCCCTTTCTGGGTTTAGCCAGCCATTCCTCGTGACCTCTTGTCCCTGTTCTTGTAGAGCGAGGGACCGAGGCCTAAGAAATTATGTAACTTCTTTCTGAGCCTTCTGAAGAGGACCCACAGCCAGGACATGTCTGAAGCAGAGTGGAAGTGGGAGAATTTGGCTGCAGGGCCCGTGTCCACAGCCACTGAGATACTCGGGTGCAGGGAGCCCTTGAGGGTGGGTGCGGTCTCTTACTCAGCACAACACACAGCAGCGGGCACTAGTGTGAGTCCAGCATCAGTGCACCCTAGGAAGGCAGGGTTTGCTCCTTGACCTAAGAACTCCGATAGCTGTCAGGGGGTGGGACGGGAGACAGAAAACAATTGGTGCCAACCCTTATAGGTGTTGTCACCAAGTCAGCTATGGTGGCCAAGTCAGCCCCCAGATGTGGGGAGGGTACTGGCTGTGAGGTCTGAGTTAAGGACTGAAGACCTGGCAGCCTGCTATGGAGGGGTGGACAGGGCTCCTGATGAGAGGACAGCGTCAGCCCCGGCCAAGGGTGAGTGTCAGCTGACCGGCTATGCTGTGGGGTCTTCTTGGGCCAAAGGACAATGCCAGGAAATGTGTGTGGGGCTGGACAGGTGGCCAGCAGTGGGCCGTGGAATCCTGTGGGTTCTGGACACGTGCTGTACTTCATGCTGTAGGCAGCGGAATCCAGGGCTTGGATGTACTGAGGGTGGTTTTTGGTCCAATAGGAATCTAGATGCCCAGTGGCTGTGCGCGTGGGGAGCCGAAAATGAAGGCAGAGGGATGCTCCCCAGAAGACAGCCGCAGCAGCCCTGCTGAGAGATGGCCAGAGAGTTTACTGGGGCAGCAGAGGGAGGAAGGGGACTGAGGAGCATAGACGGTGAAATGGGCGAATCCTGGTCATGCCCTGGATGTGAGGGGAATGGGGGAGATAGCCCAGCAGTGGTGCCTTGCAGCTGATTCCAGGGGATTCGCAGCTAGTGAGCTTGGTGTGTAAACTATATCAACCCTATACACAGGCAATGCCATCGTCACAATTTTTGTTGGCCTTCTGCTACAATTCCCAACATGCCATGCTTTCGGGCTTATCTACTACCACCCTGTGTTGTATTTCATTGGGTTTATATGTGTTTGTGTTCGCCTGCAAGACTTCTGAACTCCTTGCCTTCTGCCTATCTGTCTCCCAGGAGGGAGCTCGCCCCCTTTGGGGTAAAAGTGGCTATAATTGAACCTGGTTCCTTCAAGACGAACATGACCAACACTGAGAGGGTTTTGCTGCACGTTCAGGAGGTGTGGGACCGGGCCCGACCCGAGATCAAGGAGACCTATGGCGAGAAGTTTCTGGCATCCTGTGAGTGCACTGTGTACAGTGAGAGAACTAAACCTTGGACCATGATTAATGTCTCCAACACCATGAGGGGTCTGTTCTCCTGCCGGGTAGGGGAGAGAGGGAAGTTCAGCCTCATCACAAAGTGGGGATGTTCCGCCCCATTCCCAAGGTGCTGTGTGATCAACAGGTCAGTTAGAAATGGGAACCAGGCTCACTAATTGGAAACACTGTTCCGCCATTATTTTGAAGAGCAAACTAAAGACAGAGAGGGAAGATGCCATGGACTCATGGCCAGCTGGGTTTAGAGAGGACTGGTTTTCCTGGGCTTCGACTCCATTAGCAGAGACCTTTAACTTATGCAGTCCCGATATTCCCAGGAAGAGAGGCAGAGGTGTCTTAGCATGGACCAGTTTTTCCTGGGGTAAGGATGGAACACGTCCCTGGGGAACCTGCATGGATTAGATTTGGGGCACATCACTGTGGGACCCAGGAATTCTTAGGAACTTTCCTTCTAACTTAGAGCTGTAAAAGGGAGCAGAGGGATGTTCCCACTCCATTAAGGCTATTTTCTCATCCTGAGCAGACCTCAAACGACTATCTGAACACCTTTTGTCAACATGCAACGAGAATCTGTCAGAGGTGACGGACTGCATGGAACATGCGCTGACTGCCTGCCATCCCCGCACCCGCTACTCAGCTGGCTGGGACGCCAAGCTCCTCTACCTCCCCATGAGCTACATGCCCACCTTCCTGGTGGATGCCATCCTCACCTGGGGCCTCCCAAGGCCAGCCAAAGCCCTGTGAAGCCAGGACTGTGGCACTTGTTTCAGTGGGGTTGGATGCTGTGTGAGGGGTGATGTGTCCTTGGGAACGAAATAGGGTGGAGGGAGGCAGCTGTCATGTCATCAAGTCACCTGTCCTACCTGCATCCTCCCCTCCTGGCCATCGTTCTCCTGGGATTTCGTTCAGTACCCTACAGATGTTAGTAGGAAAGTGCCAAGTTATACAGCTGAAGAACAAGAATCCAATAGCAATCCTGGTTGTATTGTTGCCTTGGGTGGCCACTGAAGGCTCTAATCCTCTTGGGGCAATGGTGGGGCGACAATTGGGGTGGGTGTGAGCTGGGGAGGGGAGTTTAGCCCACACCTTCTCTGCCTGCTGCCCACCTCCTCAGGGTGTGCTTTAGCCTGGTCAGTCTATACCCTCCCACAGGGTGGAAATGCTTGAAGGTGGTCAGGGACCTCTCCTACCTCTGAAGATATCCGTGTACATGGGGTGGGGATGGGCAGAAAAACCACTAACCTGGCTCATAGTCCTCAGCTGGCAACTTGGTGGGCATTGGCTGGAAGGTGTTCTCAATAGGGGTCTTTGCATAAAACACGTAACCAATGTTTCATATGACTTGAACCCATGGAGTTTTTTGATTATTTTTCCCTAGAAACACTTGATAAGTTGAGCCATTCTAAGGGATTTTATTTTATTTTGTTTTTTTCTGTTACTACCCAAATTGTTAGCGGTAGGATTTTAATTTCTTAGGAAAGCTACCATTGGATTTCAGACATACTAGATGAAATCCCTCTCTGAGTCTGGGTTTCCTCATCTGGCTCAGCACCCAGAATTCACTCCTCAGAAAGCTCAGTCTCTGACAGTCTCCAGGACTCCAGGGAAAAGGCAAACAGAGTGGCCAAGGATAGATCCCCTCCTGATGCAGTAATTCTCTGCAAAGAAGGAGGACATGGCCCCAAATCGGGAGCCTGGCCTCAGAGGCCAGGAAAGGAGACAAGGGAGAGAGTCGTGGCTAGAAAACTGCCAGAAGGAAACTTCCAGGGCTGCTGAGAGGAAGGAATGTAATGAGTTACACAAAGTAGATGTAATAGCTTTTGCCCTTCTACCCCTGAACATACTCTTTCCTTAACCAGTGGTCCACATTGCGGAGTTGGGGTACAGACCTATGGGAGCAAGAGGCAGGTGCCTTCAGGGAGGGCAGGGGATGAGAGGGGTGACCTGAGGAAGGATATGAAGAGGACAGGTGGATCTTCTCTCCCCTCCTTCAGCCCTTCCTGCCACAGAGGTCAGGGGCAATGCTTCCCTTTGCAGGCTTTCTTGAGTAGCCTAGTGTCACAGGAATAGACACAAGCACAAGCAAGGAGGAAGATGGCAATAAGGACTGGCAGGACGCAGATCCCTGCCCTGGTGCAGCTGAGCTTTCCCGCCCTCACCAGCACCTGCTCTGTGTCCCTCTCGGGCTGACCCTCATTTAAGGTCACTGCCCTTCCCTCTTCCCTTGCCCTTCCTAGGGCCCCCAAACCCACATCCCCGGCACAAATTGTAGTGGACCCCCCAAATGTAGTAGGTTATGATGTTAGATTAGAAATATATTGAGATTTGTGGGTTAACAGTTAACTAGACAAGGGAATCAAAGAAATCACGCGCTGACTTTAAAGTTGATTGCCTCTAACCTGCCTTCAGGACTGTCCTAAGTTAAAATTTAGCGCCGTCGCTTCATTTGGGAAGAACGTACTCATGTACTTTGTACTAGTGGCTAAGGATGGAAAACAAAGTGATCAAGGCAAAACTGATTGTTTCTTATAACTGATTGCTTAATCTTTCCAGCTGCCTTGCCTATGGTTGAAGTTTTACTGTGCTTGCTTAACTGGAGAAAGAATGGTCCTTAACCTAACTAATGATATCTGCTTCTGTAAACCTGCTTGCTTAAAGATTATAATCTGTGGCTCGTAACCGAAACAGGTGGTCCAAGGCAGGTCCAGGACCCCACGGTTATGGAACGTGTGATGTAATTTGTCCCACTTCCCGTCTTTGTCCCACTTCCCCATACCTCATGTAACGTAGCCCATCTTAGAATACTATAAGACCCCCTTGCTTTTTTGGCTAACCACCCTTCTCTGTACCTGTACTCTGACAGGGCAGGGGTGGTCGCTGGCCAGCTAATAAAGACTCATAATTCAGCTCAATTTGGTCTTTAAGTGGTCATTTCTCGCACTCCGTACTATAACACTATCTCTCCACTGCCATGGAGTGAGAGTCACGTTTAGACGCCAGTCCCTCATTTTTTGTTAATTTATGCTGAGCGCCTGTTCTGTGCTGGGGGAAAATTCCTGGGAATTCCTGGGGCTTCCTGAGACCCGGCTCTGAGTCTTCAGTGTTCTGGGATCGCTGTGAGTGTGGTCTCAACAGAGAAAGCTCTTGCAGAAGGGGATACATATTCTTGGGCTGAGGTCCTGGAGGACCAAGGCCCTGAATACTGTAGGGTCAGGCCACTCAGTGTCCTTCCATGGTGCCCCACATGAAAGCCATGTAACAGTTTCATATGCAATCTGAAGCCTCCAGACTTTTCTTTTTGGTTTCCATAATTCCTTCTTTCTAAATGCAGAGACACACACAGACACACAGACACACACACACACCAGGGAAACAAACTGAAATGAAATCAGAGGCTGTGATTCACTTGATAGCTCACTGAGTAGTTGTTCAGGAAGTTGGACTCACCCGCAGGGGTGCTCTGCAGACTCAGACAGCTGTGAGGGAGGAAACCCCTGGCCCTCCCTGCTGGGCTCCACTGTGGGTGCAGCTGCACCGAGGCCCCACTTCTGGCCCATGTCATGGGCTGACTCAATGCTGTAGGGTCAGGCCACTGAGTGTCCTTCCATGATACCCCACATGAAAGCAAAGCCACAGTTTCATATGCGATCTGAAGCCACCAGCTTCGTTTTTAATATTAATAATTCTTCCTGTGTAAGTACACATTCACGCACACTCACGACGCACACACACACCACCAAGAAAACAAACTCAAATGAAGTAAGAGACTGCGATTCACTTGATAGCTCACTGGAGGTTCTTCAGGAGGTCGGACTCACCCCCAGGAGTGCTCTCTAGAGAGTGGGAGAGCTGTCACGGTGCAAACCCCTGGCCGTACTGGGCTGCAGTGGTGGTTGCATGTTCCTGAACCTCAACCCTTGGCCCACGACATGGACTATGAGCAAGGGGGCCACCGTCATCATCAGAGAACAAACATGGCCATAAATAATGTCTAGGGTAAAGCAGGGCACGTCTCCTCCCCTACCCCGAACCCTGAGTACAGCCTCCCCTTGTCTTCCTCCCTGGTGTCTTTTCTTAGCAAGGGAGACAGGTCAGCTCCCATGGAGCTGCACAGGGACTGGACCCCAATCCCAGAGTCCTGGGTTCCGCAGAAGCTCCCTTCACTCCTTCTTGCTGCCCTGGTCTTCTCTGTGGAGCACCAGGTCATTGGGTCCCCACCAGAAGCTGTCATCCCCTCCAGACTCGTGATCTCCATTGCCTGCAGGGCATGTGGCCATTCCTTTCTGTGTCCCCACTGCAGCTTTAGAGAGGCTGTGGGTTGCAGGGCTTGACACAGGCTGCCATGAAGCCCTCATGTCCTGTCTTTCCCAGCTTTGCTTTTTCTTTCCTACAGCTGCTGCTCTTTGGGAGACCTGTCCTCGATGGAGAAGGGGCAATGGGCGGGGTGCTGCTGAAGCTGGAGACAGTGGTCTCCAGGAGGCTGAGCTGGGCTCCCCTGGGGGACTGATCCCAGCAGGAGTCCACACACAAAGAATGCAGGGCACCAGGAGGCGGCACCTGTCCGCCTAGGCAGCCAAGAGCTCAGAAGGGTGGCCCTGGAGCCTGGCCAAGCTCCTCTCCCAGGAGTGCTGAGGTTGTCACTGTCACAGGGCTTGTGCAGCGGTCTCAGTGAAAGGACTCGGGCAGCGTGCATCTCCACACTATCCGTGGTTCCAAAGGATTTCACATTCTGCCCAAGGGTCCAGTTGAGGCAGTGTCCCTCCCTCTGAATGCTCCCTTGGGACCTCCTGGGATTGCTGCTCACTCTGGGGTGCACTGGGAAGCTCCTGCCACCGCACCTATGGGTCACACTACTGTGAGGATGAGCAAGGGTGAGCATTGCGTGTGAGGATTGGCAAATGTGTCTGTGAGTGGCCATGGGGAATTCATGGTTGAAGAAAATGGAAGTCCCTGAAAATATTGGGGATGTGTGACCTGGGAGGGGAGAGCCCAGAGCAGGAGGACAGAGGGCAGTGTACCCAGCACCCAGGGCTGGGGAAGGCGTCTGCAGGAGGTGAAGGGTAAACTCAGTGATACCTGTTTCCTTTAGGTGATTTCCTCTGCTCCCTCCCAGCAACTCTGAGAGTTTCTTCTCTTGGGTTCCCAGCCTGGTTCCCTTTCTCTCCCCAATCTTCCTGCTGAGGTCTGACTGCCCATTGACATCTCATACTCCTTCTTTCCACAGAACTACCCCAGCAGGAGGGGGCCTATACCTACCCACTCTTTTTGCCTTCTCCTTCCAAGCCTCGAGAGACTGGCAATGACTTAGTTTCCTGAGTGATTCTGGGTGCTGACCAGTTGTGGAAACCCGGGCTCAGAGAAGGATTTCAAACTAATGTGACTTGAATCCAGGTGTGGCTTCCCAGTACACCTGGGTCTTGTCTGTGCAGTCCGGGAGTGTTACTGTACGAGATATGCACAGGCAGTTCTGACTCGCCAAGTTACATCGAGTGGTATGTGTGCTATGGTGTGCACTGGTATGGACACCTGGGTGGATGCCCATGTGTAGACACCTGTGTGGACGCCCATGTGTGGACCTGTGTGGACACCTGTGTGGACGCCCATGTGTGGACCTGTGTGGACCTGTGTGGACACCTGTGTGGATGCCCACGTGTGGACCTGTGTGGGCACAGCAGGGCAGAGTGACAGCGGTGCACGCGGGAGGCATTGCTGAGCAGTAATATTTTCTTATGGGGCAACACTTGGGGCTTTTCAAGGGTGTGTATCA